TCATGACTGAAACGAAGGACGCTTAGTGGGTTAAAACGGCAATTTCTGGCAAAATCATTTTCACTTCTTTTTGGCATTCAGAAGGCCATTTAGCGGAAATGGACCATAGTTCTACACTCAGTACTCATGCCCCTACACCATGCAAAAAACCATTTTCAAAAAGCATCCCAAGCCCTGAAAGACCTTCCTTGTAAGGCCTCCTCTATCGTCAGTGCTCCCATCCTGCCCCCCTCTACTCCTATTCATTTTGCTCTCCAAGTCCTTCGGATCAGAAGTTATGGGTACATTTATTTCGCACAAATCCCGTTCCGAGTGGGCGGGGTCCGGTCCTCCCACCTACCATAAATGTTTCTATCCTGCCGCCTATACTCCTGCCAAGGTTGAACCCCTAGGGTCAAATTGACGATTTTGGAGCAAACTCCGCCCCTGTGGCCTGATCCTGCCACCCACCATTAGTGTTCCCACCCTGCCTCGGGTACTCTTACCGAATTTAAACTTTCTAGTCCACTGACATAGGAGTTATTATTTTCCGCTCAAACGTTTATTTCGCCCCGCCCCCGCCTACTTTGGACGGAGTCCGGTCCTGCCACCCACCACATGTGTTCCCATCCTGCCGCCTCTGCTCCTACCAAATTTGAACGTCTTAGGTCCAAGGGAACAGGAGTTATGAATTTCCGCAAAAACAGTCAGACGGACGGACGGACGGACAGACAGACGCGTGCGCTCTAAATAAAGTAGGGAATTTTTGCCCATGTCATCACTCAATCCTGGGCATGTCCCACCCTTGAAGGAGGAGCTTTGCTGAACTCTCAAATGTGTTGTTTTGATCTTGCCGTATGTCCAACCCATCCCAAACATGACCCGACTTATGCAGATGCTTCCTAAGGTAATATAGAATTTCTGTACAGTGGAACGAACAAACAAAAAATCAGACGCACGCGCTTCACACATGACGAGCTGTCGTTTAGATTTCGCCTAAGTTCTAAATTTGGAAAACTTCATCTAGCTACTGAAGTATTATGAAGTGGATAGTTCTTTGGAGTGTGCGCATCTGTGATCGAAATTCACATCTAAAATTAGAAATTTCGATTAGATTAGATTTCTATAGATTCCGATTATGTTTCTATGGAAAATTACGCAACTAATCTGGAAAATAGGTCAAATGCCGTAGGTATTTTTGGTCAAAATCCTTCGTGAGCAAAAAGTTTTATTGCCCACGAAGCCTAACAGCTTTCCTCCCTCAGTTGGCTGCGAATGGATGGATGAATCGTCCATATGTAGTATAGGGATGTAGCACGACGGTAAATAGCCAGAAGAACATTTGGTGTATGAGAATTAGGTGATATCCCCCAATTTGAACGATCTGACGCCGCTTTGTGGGTAATGATCTCTTGACTCTAATAGGTGATCGTGGAATTGTTTCCACTCTAATCTTCTCTAGTTAATAGGAGTTTAATTGACCTGCGTCGTGAGGGGCAAGTTGTGATTTTTAGTCCGTTATCGACGTCATAAATAGGCTGGATATTAATCAACGGACTAATATAAAGAGCATCGGTTGACTTTACATTTCATAACTGTTTTCTCACCGCGCTCCTGTGGTCTTCACGCTATTGGTCGTGTCTAAGTGACTCTTGGGAGGACCCACAAACGGGCACACAAACCGACACACAAAGTTAGCGCTTTATATATATTATATACATGTATGTATACCAGGAGACTGTATGGTGAATAAGAATTGGGTGATACTCCCCAATTTGAACGATTTGATGCCGTTTTGTGGATATTGATCTCTTGACACTAATAGATGATCTCCATTCTAACCTCCTATAGTTCCTAAGGGTTTGATTTTCCTGCGTCGTGGGAGGCGAGTTGTGATTTTCAGTCTGTGACGTCATAAATGAACTGGATATTAATCAGAAAACAGTTATGACACGACTTTTCATGTCATAACTGTTTTCTCACCGCGCTCACGTGAACTCCTTGCTCTTGAT